TGCAAATTACGTAATATATAGTTACGTAATTAAATATTTTAAATATTATTTATATAAAACTGAGTTTTGTGTATTTAATGGTGGTATTTTTATACTTATAATTATAATAGTTAATTTAATATTAAGCTTTAAACTGTAACTTTTTACTAACTTAACGAGTAACTTAAACAACTTAATTCCCAACCCTGGGTTCGAATAAATTTCCGTTATTTATGCATAAAAATAAATAGCTGCGTTATTTTTGCTTATTAATTCGTAATAATTATTAATGGTTAATAAAATATTTAAAGGGTTTTTTTAATAAAGTTTAAAATAAATTTAACTTTTTAAGGCTGGGGTAATTACATTTTTTTTAAATTTACCGCTTTATTGCAGCGTTTTTCCTTTTGCTATTTTTTTCCTTTTTTATTTTTAATTTTTAATTCATTTATTAATAATGTTGCTTGATAAATGTTACAGTTAAGCCTTTGCTTTTAAGGTAAAGCACCGAAGGAATACTAAGCAATAGCACGTAACTTAACAATTAAAAGGATTTACAAAGTATTTTGGGTACGGTTTAAATGCTTGCTCCAAAGGTTACTTAAAACAGTAAAAAACCCTTCCTTTTTATACTTTGCTTTTAAAACAAGCACTTGCTTTGCTTAAAGGTTAATACTTGCGATCTTTTAAGTATTGCAAGTATTAATAATATTATTAATACTTTTAATATTAAGCGTACCATTTGTCCGTTACGTAACGGTGCGGGGTAACCGCTTTTTAAACCGACGGACTTTACCCATTTATTTTTTTATTAATTGTATCCGTTGGTTGTGTCACGGTACGCGTCGGGGCACCTGGGGAAGAACCTGAGGCCGCACTCTTAGCGCGCCAACGTCACGCTTACAAAACCGCAACAGAACGCCAGGGACGCTCTGCCCAAATAGCTTCCTCTTCGTGCAACAACAAAGCCTTTTTTATAACAATAAAATGTAAGCCGTAGCAATTTGTTGCACTTTAAATTTTCGAAACCCGATATTAACATATTCCGTTTTTTTTTTGCCAATAACTTTGTAAAACGGTAGCATACTTTTTCGCTTACAATTAACCAACGTTAATACTTACCCTAAATTTTGCCGTATAATTTCGGAAAAACATTTCCATTTCCCCGATTTAATTTTTTTAACCAAATAACCCGTTAGCAAATTACCGCTGCGGTTATACCATATCCACCGCATTTAACGCCTTTAAAACGGGCCTTTCGGGCTTAACAATAACAATTTTACAAAACGCTATTTTTTTATTTCCAACCTTGCATTCCATACGCAAAGCAATTTAAAACAATTTTAGCAATTACGCCGTTTTATATTTCGCTTTGCATTTAAAACGTTTTAATAAAACCCAAACCTAATTTAAACATATTTTCCGGGTTATAAAAACCCGTTTTTAAACCATTAACAAATTGCTAACAATATACCGTTAAAACGCCGATACCGTTTACGTTATAATTTCGAACCAAAAAATAACAATTTGCAAATTTTAAATTTAAATCCAATAGCTATTTAGCCAAACCATATTTATACCAATTACAAATACGCCCTTTTTAACGCAACCTTTTAAAACCGCCGCGTTATTGCCAGCAATCCGCCCCCGAATAACCACTTTCGAAATTTTTAAAAGCATAAAAATAAACCAAATTTAGCAATAAAAGCATTATACCAATTAGCGCTTTTTGCTTAAAGTACAAATAAAACTATACCGGGCCGCTTTTTTAACGTTATTAAAACGCGTTTTTTTTTTGTCCTAACATTTAAGCAATAACGCTTTTGCTTTTATAAAAACGAAAATTAACCAAATTGTTACGGCCGGCAATAACGTTTTCCAATAGCCCGTTGGTTAACGTAATTACCCAAACGTTATTAAAACGCTAAATTAAATTTACATTATTACTAATATATTAATAAAAGCCAATCGAAATTTTAAATTATTCGCTTAAAATAATTCTTTTTTTAACAATTTTATCGGCAATTTTATTAAGCTTAGCAATATGTGCAATTTATTTAACAACTTACAAATATTGGCCTTTAAGCAAAAAGTAAACCGTTTATTGCATAAAACCATTACGTTAATTATGGAACGCCCAAAACCTAACAATTTCGAAAGGTAAATAAATTTATTCCGGAATTTAACCAATAACATCGCCAACAACATTTTCCGGGGCAAACAAAACGTTAACGCCCATTTTTTAATACGCTATCCCAACGCTAACGATGCGCTAAAACCGGCCCAGCATTTAAACGCTATAAATTTTAACAAAATTACGATAAAGCCCCAACCCCCCTTTACTAACGCCCGAAAAAAGTACAAGCGCACTAATAATTTGTACTTTTATTGCGGCGGGGCGGGGCACCAAGCAACCGCTTGCACAAAAAAAAAAGCTAAAAAAATAAGCTTTAAGTACAATTGCTTTTAAAGCCATTAGCATTTCGCTAACAACTTTTTAAAAAAATAAAAGTATATTTACATTTAATAAAACCCAATTTTACTTTTTTATTTTACAACAAGCTTTTTACCGAAAAAACGCTACCAACCCGGTACCGCACCCTTTTAAATACCAAATGTTCCTTATAAGCATTTATTAACAACATTTTTGCGCACAACCATAACTTGCCACGCTTTGCCTTGCCCAAACCCATCCTTTTAAAATTGGCTAATAATAAAGTTACGAATTACTTTCGCAAATGCGTTAAAATGCGCTACCATATTGCTTGCTAAATAAAAACGTTTACCATATACATTTGGTTATTAAAAACGGGAAGCCTTAACATTATACTAAAGCTTTTTTAGCTACGTTACTATAACCCTTATATTAATTAAATAACGGGCTTAATAATTATATACAGCATTACGCTATTAAAACTAAACCTAAACGCTAGCAATTTATTACGCAACCGCTTAAAAAACAACGATAACAAATTTAACCCCGCAAATATACGCATGCTTAACGTTCCCAATTTTATATTATTTTGCAAATAAAAAAGCGTGCAATTTAAATAAACAACCATAGCAAAGCTTTACGCTAAAACTTGCCCCAAACCTTTAATACCCTTAATAAGCGCCAACCAATTCGCTAACAATACGTTAATGGAAATTTTC